TCTCGGGGAGAGAGAGATATCAGTGTCTCGGGGAGAGAGAGATATCACTTTATCAGGGAGAGAAACCAATATCAATATCTCGGAGACAGAGATATATCAGTGTCTCAGGGAGGGAAACCAATTTCAGTGTCTCGGGGAGAGTTATATATCAATGTCTCGGGGAGAGAAACCAATATCAGTGTCTCAGGGAGAGAGATATATCAGTGTCTCAGGTAGAGAAACCAATGTCAGTGTCTCAGGGAGAGAAACCAATATCAGTGTCTCGGGGAGAGAGAGATATCAGTGTCTCGGGGAGAGGAACCAATATCAATGTCTCGGGGAGAGAGGGATATTAGTGTCTCAGGGAGTGAGACACAGCAGTATCTCAGGGAGAGAAACCAATATCAGTGTCTCAGGGAGAGAAACCAACGTCAGTGTCTCAGGGAGAGAAACCAATATCAGTGTCTCGGGGTGAGAAACCAATGTCAGTGTCTCGGCGAGAGAGATATATCAGTGTCTCGGGCAGAGAAATCAGTATCAGTGTCTCAGGGAGAGTGATATATCAGTGTCTCGGGCAGAGAAACCAATATCAGTGTCTCAGGGAGAGAGATATATCAGTGTCTCGGGGAGAGAAACCAATATCAGTGTCTCGGCGAGAGAGATATATCAGTAACTACAGGGAGAGAAACCCATATCAGTGTCTCAGGGAGAGAAACCAATATCAGTGTCTCAGGGAGAGAGATATATCAGTGTCTCAGGGAAGAGAAACCAATATCAGTGTCTCAGGGAGTGAGATATATCAGTGTCTCGGGTAGAGAGAGATATCACTTTCTCAGGGAGAGAGATATATCAGTGTCTCAGGGAGAGAAACCAATATCAGTGTCTCAGGGACAGATACCAATATCAGTGTCTCGGGGAGAGAGATATATCAGTGTCTCAGGGAGAGAAACCTATATTAGTGTCTCGGGGAGAGAGATATATCAGTGTCTCAGGGAGAGAAACCAATATCAGTGTCTCGGGGAGAGAGCGATATCAGTGTCTTGGGGAGAGAGATATATCAGTGTCTCAGGGACAGAGATATATCAGTGTCTCAGGGAGAGAGATATATCAGTGTCTCAGGGAGAGAAACCAATGTCAGTGTCTCAGGGAGAGAAACCAATATCAGTGTCTCGGGGAGAGAGAGATATCAGTGTCTCGGGGAGAGAAACCAATATCAGTGTCTCAGGGAGAGAGAGATTTCAGTGTCTCAGGGAGAGAAACCAGTATCAGTGTCTCGGGGAGAGAGATATATCAGTGTCTGAGGGAGAGGAACCAATATCGGTGTCTCCGGGAGAGAAACCAATATCAGTGTCTCGGCGAGAGAGATATATCAGTGTCTCAGGGAGAGAAACCAAAATCAGTGTCTCGGGGAGAGAGAGATATCAGTGTCTCAGGGAGAGAAACCAATATCAGTGTCTTGGGGAGAGAAACCAATATCAGTGTCTCGGGGAGAGAGGGATATCAGTGTCTCGGGGAGAGAGAGATATCAGTGTCTCATGGAGAGAGAGATATCAGTGTCTCAGGGAGAGAAACCAATATCAGTGTCTCGGCGAGAGAAACCTATATCAGTGTCTCAGGGAGAGAAACCTATATCAGCGTCTCAGGGAGAGAGATCTATCAGTGTCTCGGGGAGAGAAACCAATATCAGTGTCTCGGGGAGAGAGCGATATCAGTGTCTCAGGGAGAGAGATCTATCAGTGTCTCGGGGAGAGAGGGTGAGAGATATATCACTGAACAGGGACAGAGATATATCACTGAACAGGGAGAGAAATATATCAATGTACAGGGAGTGAGATATATCAATGTACAGGGAGAGAGGGAGAGAAACGTTTCAACGTACAGGGAACTATAGAGCCAAATGTACAGAAATATATAGAGAGTTGTACAGGGGACCAAAGCGAGAGTTGTATAGAAATATATAGAGAGATGTACTGAGGACTATAGAGAGAGGTCTACAGAAGTATATAGAGAGAAATGTACAGAAATATATAAGGAGATGAATAGGGAACTATAGAGAGAAATGTACAGAAATGTATAGAGAGATGTACAGGGGACCAAAGAGAGAGGTGTACAGAAATATATAGAGAGATGAATAGTAAACTATAGAGAGAAATGTACAGAAATACGTATGGAGAACTATAGAGAGAAATGGACATAAATATATGGGAAATGTTGCAGAGAAATATATAGAGAAAAATATCAGGAAATGTCCAGGAAAATGCGTAGAAATAGACAGTGGGATATAGAGATGTCTACTGAAAAATATAGAAAAATACTATATAGAGAAATACATACAGGAAAATACAGAGAAGTATATGGAGAAACATAGAGAAATCTATAGAAATATGCATAAATATATACATACAAGTGCATAAATACCTAAAATATCCAGAAATACAAATAATTTCCCAAAATATCCAGGAATATCCCTGAAATATTAAAGTTTCCAGAACAATAGGACAGAGAGTATGGAAATGCTGAGGAATCTAACTACAGGCACAGGAGATAAGGGAACAGCTGTGAGAAAGGGGGTCAGTCAACACCAGACTGAGGCTTTGTAAATCTGAAGCACAAAAAGAATCCCTAGTTCAGGATTTTCTTAAGGTTAACAGTCAGGTTCACTTGGCAGTTAGGAAGGCAAATGCAATGTTAACATTCATTTCAAGCAGGCTAGAGTACCAGAGCAGAGTTGTATTGCACAGGCGGTCTAAGGCTCTGATCAGACCACATTTGGAATATGGCGAGCATATCAAAAGAAGGATGTGCTGACATTGGAGGGGGGTTCCAAAGGAGGTTTGCAAGAACAACCCCTGGGATGAAGGGCTGGTCATATGACAAGCAGTCGAGGACTTTGGGTCTGCACTTGACGGAGTTTAGAAGGATGAGGGGAGGATCTCAATGGAACTTACAGAATACTGAGAGGCCTGGATGGAGTGGATATGGAGAAGACTTGAGGGCACGGCCTCAGAGCGAAGGGATGATCGTTTAGGACTGAGATGAGGAGGAATTTCTTCAGCCAGAGGGCGGTGAATCTGTGCAACTCATCGCTGCAGAGGCCTGTGGAGGTCAAGTCATTGAGTGTGTTTAAAACAGAGACAGAATCATGATTGGGCAAGGAATCAAGGGTGTCTGGGAGAGAAGGCAGGAGAGTGGGGTTGATCGAATGGTGATGCATACTCAGTGGGCTGAATGGCCCAATCCTGCTCCTATATCTTATGGTCTAATAATAGTATCCCAAAATATATCGCCAAATAATCCTAAGATATCCTCAAAATACCGTAAAATATCTGAAATATATACCCAAAATATCCCCTAAGCTATCCAAAAAACAAATAATTTCCCAAAATATATCCTCAAAAAATAGGAGAAAGAGATGTACAGAATATTGTAAAATGGTTGGAAAGTGTATCTGTATAAAGGGACCTGGGTGTCCTTGTTCATAAGTTATTGAAGGCTGACATGAAGGTGCAGCAAATTATTAGGGAAATTGAGGGAATGTTAGTCTTTATCACAAGAGGATTTGAGTCCAGGAGGAGGGAGAGTTTACTTCAGTTGTACAGGAGCTTGGTCAGACCACACATGGAGTAGTGTGTGCAGTTCTGGTCTCCTTATCTCAGGAAGGATGTTATTAACACAGAGGGAGTGTGGTGAAGTTACATCAGACTTGTTTCTGTGATTGGAGAGGTGGGAGGGGGAAACTGTCCTGTGAAGGAAGGTCGGAACAAACTGGGTCTAGATTTTCAAAGAATGAGAGGGGAATCTCATTGGAACCTACAAAATACTGAAAGGGGTAGACAGGGTGGATGCCTGTGACAAAAACAGACTGAAAAAGCTCAGGAGGTCTGGCAGCATCTGTGGAGAGAAATCAGAGTTAATGTTTCAGGTCAAGTGACCCTTCTCCAGAAGATAGATGCCAGTGAGATAGTTACCCCAGCTCAGGGGAGTCTAGTACAGGGGTACAGTTTCAAAAACAGAAGGGATCTCCCTTAGGTCAGAGATGAGGAGAATTGTTTTTTTCAGAGAGTTGTGAATCTTTGGGATTCTCCCTCCCAGAGAGCAATGGGAGCTCAGTCACTGATTGTATTTAAGGTAGAGACTGAGAGCTTTCTGGCTCCCCGTGGTGTACAGGGTTAACGGGATGGGCTGGTTGAAAGGCAGTGAGCTGTCAAGCAGCCATGTTCATGCTGAACGATGAGGCAGTCTCGAGGGGCTGAATGGTCTCCTGTTCCTGTGTTCCCAGCCAGTCCCCTAACCTCATTATCCCTGCCCCTCAGATCCCCACAGGCTTTAGTTTTACCCAGCATGGATATTGTAGGGCATTTTAATCAAAAGTGCACATGCAGTCATACAGTTTTCCAGAACAGAAGGCCATTCAATCCAGCCTCCAAAAGAGCTGCCCTGCTACACTCAGAGCACTGTGTAGAGTTTGGGTCTCCTTGCTTGAGAAATGATGTACTGGCACTGGATGGGGTGCAGAGGAGGTTCACCAGGTTGATTCCAGAGTTGAGAGGGTTGAGTTATGAGGAGAGATTGCGTAGACAGGGACAATATTAGTTGGAATTTAGATGAATGAGGGGGCAGTCTTACAGAAACATAAAACTTTGAAGGGAATAGATAAGACAGAAGCAGGGAGGTTGTTTCCACTGGGTGGGTGAAACTCGATCTAGGAAGCACAGCCTCAAAATAGCGGGGGAGCAGATTTAGGACTGAGTTGAGGAGGAACTTCTTCACCCAAAGGGTTGTGAATCTTTGGAATTCCCTGCCCAGTGAGGCTTCCTCGTGGAGTGTTTCTAAGGAGAAGACGGATTTTTGAACAGTAAAGGAATTAAGGGTTATGCTGAGCGGGCGGGTAAGTGGAGCTGAGTCCCCAAAAAGATCAGCCGTGGTCTTACTGAGTGGTGGAGCAGGATCGCGAGGGGCCGAATGGCCTGCTCCTGCTCCTGTTTCCTATGTTCTTATCACTTTCAAACATCTATCAGGTTCTCTTTTGAAACCTCCACCACTCTCCCAGGCAGCGCATTCCAAATCCTAAAACCTCTCTGAGTAAAGACGTTTCTCGTCATCTCACTCCTACCTCTCCTGCTAACAACTTGTGGGAACAGAAAAGCCTTCTTTACCCTGTCATAATTGTTCACAATTTTGGACACCTCAGAAAGATCACCTTTTAAGCTTGCTGGAAAAGGTCAGCAGGTCTGGCAGCATCTGTGAGGAAAATAATCAGAGTTAATGTTTCGGGTCCGGTGACCCTTCCACTTCCAGCAACTTCTGTTTTTGTTTCTGATTTACAGCATCTGTAGTTCACTCGGTTTTCACCTCTTAATCTTGTCCACTCCAAGGAGAATATGCCTAACCTCTCTAATCTTTCCTTGTATCTAAAACCCCACGTTCCTGATGTCATTCTGGTAAATCTCCTTCGCGTTCGCTCCAAGGCTTTAATGTCCATCCTCAAATGAGGTGCCCAGAACAGTATTCCAAATGTGTCCTGACCAATGACGTGTAGAGGTGTAGCAACTTCCTTGCGTTTATAAATGTCAGACAACGCCAATCGAAAACCTCCCCATTCCTTCATGAAAGAACAAGATTCCAGAGGGTCAAATCCTTGCTCTGTCATTCATGAACCAGGATAACTCAAACCGACAGATCTTGAACAGTGGATCCCTTGAATTCTTCACTGTTACATCCCCGAGGGTAGCAGGTGTAGAATAAAAGCTGTTTGGTTCCCTAGCCATGTCTTCTGCCTCGGTAAGCAGTTCTCTTTTTTCCAGTGTTTAATCAAACCGCCTGTCCCTCCACCACCGTTTTGCCATTGATAAAGGTTCCCCCTTTCTCCAAACCACTTATCAGTTCCCACTTTCTTCAATCCTTTTACTTCCGGTTTTTAGACCTCTTCTATATTGTGCTCGGGGTTGATTGTGACCTGCCTTTGTTCACATCTCTACACCTTCAGTCACCTAAGCAGGCCCAGTTTACATCACTGGCTGGCCCCAGGGTTTATCGCCCGTCCCTAGTTGCCCCTTGGGGGCATGATAGTGAGCTGCTGCAGCTCCACCCCACTCCCCACCCCGTGTGATGTAGGGACACCCAGCACAGTGCCCTTAGGGAGGGAATTCCAGGATTGGGACCCAGCCACCCTGAAGGAACGGCGATATATTTCCAGGTCGGGATGGGTGAGTGGCTCAGAGGAGGGGAACTTGCAGGGGGCTGGTGTTCCCATGTACCTCCTGCCCCTTGTCCTTCTGGATGGAAGTGGCCGTGGGGTTTGGAAGGTGCTGCGTGAGGATCTTCGGTGAATTTCTGCAGGGCATGTCGTAGATGGTACACACTGCTGCTACTGAGCGTCAGTGTTGGGGGGAGCGGGATGTTTGTGGATGTGGTGCCAATCGAGGGGAGGCTGCTTTGTCCCTGGGACGGTGTCGAGATTCTCGAGTGTTGTCGGACCTGCCCCCATCCAGGGGCAAGTGGGGAGTATTCCCTCCCCCCCACCTCCTGCCTTGTGCCTAGTTAGTGGTGGGACAGCCTTTGGGGGTGTCAGGAGGGGAGTTACTCTCTGCAGGATTCCCAGCCTCTGACCTTCTGTTGTAGCCACAGAATTGATATGGAGCTGAGTCCGGTTCAGTTTCTGCTCAATGGTAATCCTTGTGGGAATATATCTGGTTTGTACTCTAATGATCTCCTCTTTGAATAAGCAGTATGAAACCTCCAACCATCTACCTAATTAGAATGAGCTTTATTGTCACACGTATTCACATGAGCCCAGTGAAAAGTTTACAAGTCACCACTTACAGTGCCATCTTAGGTACAGATTCTTAAGTACAAATTCTTATGGGAAAAAAAATAGAAAAATAAAGAAATAAAAAGCCCAGCATTACAAACCTTCGCGCCATCTTAGTTACAAAAGTACAAAAATCATAGGAATAAATTAGAAAAATAAAGAAATAAAACATTCAGTACAACAGCCCTTCCAACGCAGTCCACGCCAGCACCTCACCTCCTGTCCACACTGGACTTCACCTCCAGGCTGGGGGTCTGCGCTGAGGCCGGGGGTTCACGCTGAGGCCGGAAATCTGCGATGACTTCACTCAAGCCTCAAGGACGGGAGGTAATGAGAAAGAAGGAAGAAAAACACACAAAGAGAAAAAGGGACTGAGCAGAGAAGAGGAGCTCCAGTGGAGGAGACCTACTGTACTGCCGTCTCAGGAGGTACCTTTGTAAGTGGTGACTTATAAACTTTACACTGTACTCCTCTCGAGTTCATGTGACGACAAAGCTCGTCCTAATTCTAATGTTCCCAATAGTCCTGTTAAATATTTTCACCTTTAACTGTTTCTGTCTTAAACCTAGCATTATGGTGATCACTGTTACCCAAATGCTCCCCAGTCCTGCAATTCGCCCAGAACCCGAACTAAAAACACTGCCTTTCACTCCGTTCCTTTGGCGCCGTCTCTCTGTTGGAATCATCGGAATCCCTCTTCCCATCTGCAGCTCCGATATCTTCCGGCCTTTTGCCCATTATTTGAAATTCAGTCAGTTAATCAGGTTGCCTGATTCACCACAGTCCTTAAATCTGCCATCCTTACCCAGTCTGACCCATGTCGATTGCAGCAAAACAGGTTCACTACTGCCCTTTTAGGCTTTCCACATCCTCCATCCACTCCCCAACTATTCCTGTGCTGTGACCCTGTTCCCTGAGCTGGGTTCCCTTCCAAAAGGCCCCCCATCCCCCTGATATCTCTGCTTTCCCCTGCCTGGCCTGTGCCCTATCCTGAGACCCTCACAGTGATGGGGAGGGGGCGGCGGCATTTTTGATGGTTATTAATTGCTGTGATGTGTGTATTTTACAGAGACTGTGAGGTACCTGTCATTTGCTGCTGTTTTAATCGATCTGCACAGCTTCTGGCAGTGGGATTGACGACTGGACATATCAAGGTGAGCACTCTTGGAACATTGACAAGAAGGACATGAGGTGTACTGTGGGGCGATGGTGGAGAGAGTGTGTCGAGCCAGTGGGGGGAATCTCTCGGGAGCTCACCCAGCGTTATCCCATATATTTCCAGTTCTGGGGGATTGTCACTGGGTCTCAGGATGATCTGCATGGGATGTAGGTGTCCCTGGCATTGCCTCTCATAAAATCAGAAGTGGGGATGTTTGCCGAGGTTTGAACCACGCTCGGCACTATTTGTGACTCCTCACATGCTGAAGCAGTCCATGTTGAAATGCAACAATATCAGGCTTGGGCTGACAAATAGCAGGTAACGTTTGCACCACACAAGTGCCAGACAATGACCAACTCCAGTAAGAGAGACTCTATCCATCTCCCCTTGATATTCAATTGCATTACCATCACTGAATCCCTCCTGAACTTGAATCTTCTCACAGTAAAGACCAACATACCATCCACCTTCATCACTGACTGGCTGCTGTAATTGCATGTTTACCTTCACTGAACAATGGCTGGTTGCACTCCCCGCCAACATTCTATCACCATTCAAATAATCATCGGCCTTCCTATGTTTGCTCTCAAAGTGGATAGCCTTATCCGCATTATTCTGCATTTGCCCACTTGCTCAGTCTGTCCAAATTACTCTGAAGCATCTCTCTGTATTCCTCACAGCCCACCCTTCCAACCAGTTTTGTGTCAGCTGCAAACGTGGAGATTTTGCATTTAGTTTCCTCATCCAAATCAGTAATCGATGTTGTGAATTGCTGGGGTCCTCGTACTGATCCCTGCAGTACTCCACTGGTCACTGCTGGCTGTTCAGAAAAAGGCCCATTTATTCCTCCTTTTTGCTCCCTGACTGCTAACCAGTTCTCTGTCCATGTCAGTATGCTATCCCCAATCCCATGTGCTTTAATGTTACACACTAATCTCTTATGTGGGACATTGTCAAAAGCGTTCTGAAAGTCCAAATAAACTCCATCCTCTGCCTCATCAACACGACTAGTTACTTACTTGAAAAATTCCAGTGAATTTGTGAAGCATGATCTCCCTTTTGTGTTGGATTCTGCCACTGATTTCCAAATTTTCAGCTGTTTTTATAATGGACTCTGGTATTAGCCCCACGATGGACATCAGACTTAGTGGTCTATAATTCCCGGTTTTCACCCAGCCTCCCTTTTTAAATAGTGGGGTTACATTGGCTACCCTCCAATCTGTGTGAACTGGTCCAGAGTCTACAGAATCCTGGAAGATGACCGTCAATGCAGCCAATATTTCTAGGGTCACTTCCTCAAGTAATCTGGGATGTGGATGATCAGGCCTGCAGATTTATCAGCCTTCAGTCCCATCAACACTTCCCCAACACCATTTCCTTACTAATACTGATTTCCTTTAGTTTCTTCCTCTCACTAAGCCCTGTGTTCCCCAACATTTTCTGATTTGTGATTTGCATCATACAACATAAAAACAGGCCCTTCGGCCCACCAAACTACGCTAATCCCGTTTACCTGCACTTGGCCCATGGTGAAAACATTACTCCTCAGATCCCCTCTAAGCCACTTAACTCCTCTCGTTAAACTTACGCCCTCTCTTGTTACTCCCATCTGCTGTGGGGAAGAGACTGTAATGATCCACTGCCTATATCTCTCATAATTTTGTATATTTCAAACCCAGAAGTCTTTGTCATATTGTGGGCTGTCGTTTCTCTGCTCCCTGCCTTGGTTCTGAACTGCTGAGTTTCCGTTAACAGCTTTACAAACCGTGCAGTGGGGCATTTGTCTACCAGCTGAGGGACACAGAGACTCTGAACACCAACTTACCCGTCACGAGCCTGAACTTCTGCCCACCAGGAGCTGCCAGTGGTGACTTACTGCTGGCAACATGTGAGTGAGCAGCCAGCCCTGTGATACCCAACAGCAGCAGGAGGGAGGGAGGAGGTGAGGGAGAGGGAGAGAGGAGGTGAGGGAGAGGGAATGTGGGCTGAGGGAGAGGGAACGTGGGGAGAGGGAGAGAGGAGGTGACTTACTGCTGGCAACATGTGAGTG